TGTCCCTGCTTTTTCCTTGGAATAAATTTTGCTGTAACCTTTTTTGTGTCGCTTTGGCCGTTCCGACATTATCAGCGACATCACCCCACAAAGGGACACCCGTGAGGATGGCCCCCACGGCACAGCCAGGGCCCATCCTACCTCCCTGCCTCAGTTTCCCCTCCCTCCGCACTCTGGAGGAGCCCCACACTTTGGGACAGCCTGGCTGACACCCACATGGCCCGAGCATCCATCGCGGTCACCCACGGGGTTCGGGGGCTGGGGTGTCACCGCTGGTGGCAAAGGCCACTGTGACAACGGGGCAGCCGCGGGTGCCACCGCGGGGGTGGCCGTACCCCCCGGGGGGCTGAGCCCCGGCGGGCTCATGACATGGGGACACGCTGCTCCGCCCGCTCCGTCGCCTGCCATCTCCATCAGCCTCAGCAGGGACAGCGGGACGCGATAGCAAGTGACAGGCGCCGCCAGCGCCGGGGGTAAGCGAAGGACGCAGGGAAGGCGGGGGGGACACGAATACATGGGCGGAGAGCAGCCCGGGGGCCACTCCCAGTGCCGCCCGCTGTGCCCTCGGGTGACAACACCGAGGTGGCATCAACCCTGATGGCATCTATGAGGTCCATGGGGTCATTGTCCCCCCTCGCCCCCAAAAAACAACACCAGGGGTGCATTCCCTCTTCCACTGCCACACCTGTGCAATGTTCCCAAACCCTTGGGGGACACACGGGGGACAGACACCCCCCCCAAAAGAGGAGGGACCAAGGGGACGCTCGGCAGCCATCGACCGCCCCCGCGTGTCCCCGGGCTCCCGCAGAGGCTTTAATCAGCGAGCACAAATCAATTAGCTGCTTTTAAGGAGGCAATTATTCCTGGGGGCATAACGAGACGGGGGGGGGCATTATTTTGGGGTGGGGGCATTGCCGACATCGTGTCTCCCCCTCAAAGCTGTCACCATCATGTCACCAGCTGCTTTCCTGGTTATTTTCTCCATCGTTATCGTCTCTCCCCCCCTCCATCGCCCCGCTCCTCCTTATCTTTCTTTTTAACAAGCGCCTAAAAATACGCCGCGGCGAGGTCACGGGCTGCGTGAGTCACCGCCGGGGCGGGGACGGGGTGGCCGTGGAGGGGACATGGGGGGTGGGACAGGCACACCCCGCTTGCATCAGGGCACTCGTTTCACCTGGAGGGTCAGAGGACATCCCTGGTCTTGGCCACTGCACCCTCACGGTGGGGACACAGTCCCAGGTCACCTCACTGCTGCAGGGCATTGTGTGGCACGGCCACCACCCCAGGTCACCTCATCACCCTGGGCAACCCCGTCCCCATGGCACGGCCACCACCTCAGGCCACCACGTCCCCAGCCCTGCTGCAGAGCTTCAGCACCACCTCGGGATGGCAGCGCCCCGTGGGTGGAGACGACACCGCAGGCGACACCGGCTGGGGACCCTGAGGTGCTCGCTGTCCCCAACCCTTGCACAGGGAGGGGGTGCAGCGCAGCCCCCCGAGCCTGCTCCATCCACCTGGGGACAACAGAGCGGCAAAGTTCCAAAGGGCCACGTCTGGGAGCGCAGGAGCAGGGAAAGGGACAAAGCTGGGAGGTGGCAGCGGTGACTCCAGTGACTGTGGTGGCAGCAGTGGCAGCGGTGGTGGCAGCGGTGGCAGCAGTGTCGCCAGTGGTCGTGCTGGCAGCGGTGGCTG